TATCGATGGAGGGTGAACTGTATGGATGTACATCTGTATAAAACCACATGCACAGCAATGAGTACCAACAGACTGACGGTACCCATCAAGACACGCGATACATTAGATGGAGAGGACACATATCGATGAAGGTTGAAATGTATGGATGTACATCTGTATACAACCACATGCACGGCAATGAGTACCAACAAACTATTCGTGCAAATGAAACTTGTCAATAATGAGGCAAGTTTCACGAGCAAATGTGTGTTTTATSTAAAAAAGAATGGTGTTTTCCACATTTTAATTCATTGAGAGTTTGTAATTCAAATACCAAGTTTTTTGGGTGTTAAAAGTTAAAATTCGCAACTTTGAAAATAAAGAATAAAATATAAAAAGGGTAATTTTAATGGTTTAGTGCTACATGGAATTCTTAGTTACATGCATTACAATATAAACATATTGTTTGCATGTTAGACCACTGCAAAGGAATTGCTAACTGTCTCGTTTAGCCTATCGGTATTACAGCTGGCTTGTACCAATTTTCTGTATTTTTGTATTTTAGTTTATGTAATTTTGCGATTTTGGTACTAGATAAAGATTGAATGGTTGACGGATGGCCAAAAACACTCAAAATTGGCATAAAATAAAGTGATTGAAAAAAAAAAGAAGTTCACTGCGCAGTCAAAGGGCTCGGAACATAGAGATTACTTTTATTGTTGGATCACCGCGTGCGACTATCATAACAAAGACAAGCTATAATCTAATTAAAAGGCCAAAGAATGAATTGGAATTGATAAGTTGATATAAACCAAAGGAACTAGGTGATGGTGTACCAAAATAAGAGACTATTCTGACCGTTTTTCGGAAAACGTTTAGCGTCATACATACTTTGTGTCAAGTTCTCCAACATACATTCTAATAAATCTAGCCTAAGCGTTATACTTTTCTTTCTTTTCCAAAAACGTCGTTCTTGGTTTTACTTACTGAATGTAGATTTGTTAGTGAAGTCTTCCAATTCGTTTATTTTCATTATCTAGAAACAAAACAAGAGTACGTAGTCATAGTTGTAACAGTTCTTGAACCACATGAAGAAGTTGAAAACAAAAGAAGAASAATAACAAGCATCAATTATTRATTATTTTCAAAAGGATCTCCTTTTTAGCTGTGTATATTCTCAAGTTTGTATAACATTTGACTGAAGTAATCGTCAAGAAAGACAAAGAATTTGAGTTTTGCTTAGGATTACAAAATGGAGTGGATATTGCTCTTATTTACTGGTCTAACATTGATTAAATTAGCTAAAGGTAAGTACTCCTGTAAGGCTTTTAAATGTTATATCATTTTTACAAAAAATTATGAATTTATTTCATTTTAAAAATGGTTAACCACTTTAGGATACAGATGAAAGTGTGGCCTTTAAAATTAAAACAATTCATCTGCGGTCGAGACGACTTCCTTGTCAAGTTCGATGAAGATCTGGTTAACTAAAATAGTCCGGACATAAAAATTTCAATCTTCAACCTTTAATGTTTTTTAGCAAAGCCTGTTTCGGCGTCGGCTGATCTATGTCAGGGCACGGCTAAATCACAGATCGCTCCCTAAAACACCCTCTGGGCTGATCAAACTCATGTCAGGGCATTGCTAACTCTCAGATCAAACCCTGAAACAACCTCTTTGCTGATCAAAGCAGGGCACAGTTAACTCGCACATTGATCCGGTTACGGCTAACCCTTCGTAGATTTTGGGGAGGGACAAAAATCCCAAGGAAAACTCTCGAATCAAGGGAAAGAACTAACAAACTCTACTAATGTGATAACAAATCAAGAAATCGAACCAGAGGTGAGAGGCGAGTGCTCGATCGTTACCCTACCCCTGATTCCCTTAATTTTTTGCAGCTTTTTTTCAAAAATCGTGTATATTCTCACAAATTTACGACACTATAAATTTCAAAGGAGATTTGTCTCCAAAGATTGTATTGTATTCACGTGTGTTCCAGCCGGTGGTCTTATGGCAATGTAATTTACAGGTGGTATATTTTCAAAGCTTCTTGTTTCTACTCTTTCTTTTTATTAGTTACCAATTCTTAAAAATATATAATGTTATACATAATCAAGCTTAATCAAGACTGAATATGAGCAAAAAACGTATTACTAAGTTTGCACTAAAAATACCAAGGCAAAGAACTCGGTTATATCAGTCTCATTGTTGTGTCCGCAGAATCCACAATAAATAGAGACTTTGATGTTATTCGTCCTCGTGCTTTATTCCTTACACACTAACTACACAGACGATCAAATTACATGTACGTGTCATGTGGCACATGGCGTGACAGCCGGAGGTAATCTGGATATTACACTCATGATATTATTTTGATAATAATTTGTTACTATAAACGCTTACCCTTCCTTACAAACAGGTGATGGTGGCTGTAAGGTGCTTGACTATCTTGACTGTAGGAAAAACAAGATCTTCACTGGTCACCACATCAAGTCTTTCAGAATCTTAGCACCCGGATT